TACTCACACTAGCACTTTCTTAAATGTGTAATGAACCCGGTCTGGCAGATACTCATCAGACGTCAAAGCACAAGTAGTCTCAGATCTGTACAAAGTCTCCAGTTAATGTGAAGTGATATCTGAAACAGTATCTCGTTACCAATAGACGAAGAGAGTGGAGGGGGAATAGACAGAGGAGAAGGTGGAAGAGGCAATCAATGATCACACAAGAGTAATCCAATCAATCCCCACTTCTTCTCCGGGCTTCCTCTCGCCTCCACGTCATCCAGTAAACGATAACAAGCATGACAAGTCCTGATCACCCAGAAGTGCCACGTGGCACTCTTATCTCATGAAGACCATGAAGACAACAGCAGAATACAGTAACGACGTCAACCTCAGGTGAGTACCCGATCCCAATCATCCACAGATCCCGATCCCCCTCCTTGTCACAACCGGATACCTCACGTAGACAGCGTGGCCAATGCCACGTCAGATGTAGAGACAGGTGGCATGCGCCACATCATCAATGAAGACAGGTGGCAGCGCCACATCAGCAACACAACGTAGACAGGTGGCAGCGCCACATCAGCAATGTAGATAAGTGGCATGCGCCATATCACCAATGTAGACAAGTGGCATGCGCATGCACCACATCAGCAATGTAGACAAGTGGCATGCGGCACCTCAGCAGGGTAGACAGGTGGCAGCGCCACATCAGCAATGCCTGGCGCACAAAAGCGCCAGCATGCTGCCACAGTCCCACGTCGTTGTCCACAGTGCCTGCGCACAGCCAGCGTCAAGCCAGCGTCAATGCCAGTGTCAATGCCAGCGTCAATGCCAGTGTCCAGTCAGAGTCGAGCCAGCGTCAAAGCAGCATAGCAAGACTGAATGTTGACCACCCGGAGACCCAGCCTTATGTAGCATTTGGCGAGGCTGTCTGGCCTCCGGTCCCCTCTCCACAGTCGAACAGATTGTCTCACAGCCGAGGGCCTGGATTGTTCAGTTGCAGATTTCCCTTGGTCCTTATGCGGTCTGGGTACCTGCATACAAACAAGTGTGTGCGTCTGACCGGCGGCCTGGACTGGGTACACTTTGACTTTGACTGTTGGAAATCCGACAGTTGACTTTAGTCAAGTGTTCCTCGCTCAGGCCCTGAATCTGTTGCTGGGGTCTTTTCCCCTTTTTGGCCTGGGCCAGGTGTGGCCTGACGAGGCCCTCAGACTTTCCACGAGACATACGGTATGGGTTGTTGCAAATGTATCTGACTGCAATTATGGCCAAACCTGGATGAATCTGACTGCCCTCATGCTAACAAATCGCTCAATGTATCTGGCTGCAATTGCGGCCCAACCTGGAAACTTGTACTTGAAATAGGAAAACAGAAAAGACAGAAAAAAAACCGCCCGGCCTGAACACATCCGACTGCGCAATTCTTTTTTCTTTTTCTTCGGCTGCCCTTCCCACAGTTGTGTGGCACAACAGACATTACAATTTTTTGCTCTAACTTCGGTTGCCCTGCCTTTCTTTTCTTTTTGTCCATTGCAAAAGCTGCCCGTCCCAGAGTTGCATGGCACAAAAGACATTTTTGAATGATTTTTTTGATTTTGAATGTGGGTGTGAGTTGCATTGCAAAAGCTGCCCTTTGCCAGAGTTGCATGGCACAAAAGCAGCACTTCCATTGTAAAAAAAAAAAAAAAAAAAAAAAAAAGGTAAAAAAACTTTAAAAAGAAAGACATTTTTGAATGATTCCCCCCCGCCCTTCGGCCGCCCTTTCCACAGTCGGATGACACAAACTACAAAAAGGAAAAGAAGAAAGAAAAGAAAAAACAAACGAAAAGCGGAAAAGGAAACCGTCATAGAAGTACAGGTAGCCTGTGCAAGTACTGCTCTCCCACTCTAAGTGGTTGACGGCAAGCTGCAGTCACAACCTTCCCACATAGGGTTGGTAAGCTGGACCTGAAAAAAGGTTTGGAAGGGCTCTGCAGGGAAGGTAGCGGTGGTTTAGACTACCAGTACATGGCCCCAGCCTTGCGGGAAAAACCTTTCATCGCCTATGAAAATTTTGGAGGCTTGGGGCTACCGGACCACAATGGCTGAAAAAAAAGGGCTGCTGGCGGGTCGGCAAAGCTTGGCAGGCAGTGGAATGCTGCCAGGTCCCGGTGTACTGGGGGTTTGAACCACCAGTACATGGGCACCTGGGCCGTGGGTCTGACAGCTCAAATTCTGGAGGTGCGAAGCGAAAACGGGGCCGCCGATCGAATTTATCAACGGCGGGCCCAGTGTTTGATGTTTCGGCCTCGTTTTCTTGTGGCGACAAGTTTCGGACTGCAAGGCTGGGGCCGTGTACTTGTGGTTTAAAGCCCTCTCATACTGTGAAACCACTCGGGGCACATACTTAATCGATTCTTTTATGATAACAGTGTGTCTTTCTCTGTGCGGTTGCTCCGGCACAAGTATTCAGTCAATGCCAATTAGACTGCGCAATCGCTGAGAAGGAAGCTGACTGCCTTTTTGGAAAAGGCAAGAGCTTGGATGCATGGAAGACTGGATAGTGCAAAAGGTAGGAGGGACTTCAAACCACTAGTACATTTCGCAGCCACTTTTTCAAAGTTGCGGCTTGCATGCAGCTGCAACTTTCGGGCCTTGGCCTCTGGAGCAAAATGGCTGGTAGTGCTAGCCAAAAGGAGGCCCACGCCGTTCTGTTATTTTTTTGGCGCGCAGCGCGTTTCCAGCCTTGGAGAAAAGTGCCTCGGAAGTACTGGTGGTTCAATTGGCAAACAGTCGGCTTGCGGAAGGGTCGCTACTGACCTTATAGAGACCCAAAAGCCGAATGACTTGGGAGAAGCCATAAAAACCCCAGCTCGATACTTGGGCATTCAAGTTACAAAAGCCGGACCAGCCCCACAGATGGCACAAAACCTTCACCATCAACAAAATGGGCAGATGGGGTCAAACCGTCAAACATCTATAATAATCCCTGCTGGGCAGAGCCCTAACAATCAATAGATCTATCTCCTCCAGGATGTGGTACGTATCCTCCATTTGGAACTAATCCCCGATGGCACGATCAAATATAACTAATCTAGAAGGAGAGAGCATATCTGTGGACTGGGGATCCCAATAAAGATAGACACATCTCTAAAATAGCCTACCTATGTCACGAGGAGACCCGATGCCGGAGGCGTAGGAACCATTGACCCAGGTCAAGAAACCAAAGCTCTACAAATTAAACGCACAATCGAACTAATACGCAAACTGCGCCAGGCTCCTTCACACTTCGTGATGGATACAATGCATGTTTAGTCTGAGTTCAAACATTGATTGGGCTAGTTAGAGGTACTCTAGCATTCTGCTTCGTTACTCTGAACTACGTGAATGAGGTCAGTCCTGTCAGGTCAGTCTTGTATCAAAGTCTTCCCTGCGCTCTTCAGCATCTTTATGTATGAATGAGAATGTAMATTGCTTGTCGAGATTCTACTCGTACCGCATTGTCTATTCAGTCCTTTTCATCACATTGCAGATTCTCGGTTTATTACGTACATTGCATATCTGTGCATGTAACACTGGGCTGGAGCATCAGAACTATGGGTTTGACTATTTCCCTCCACCTTCCGCTTTCCTGGAACCTCCCAGTCAGCTTCTTACATGGACTAACATCCCAGCTGACTTCAGCAAATCCGAACGTGTTCAGTATGGAGTATGGTTTGGCGAGAAAGGTGATACTGTTGCAATTTGGAAAGAAAGATGCAGTATCATGCTCAATGATTCAAGGAACTTCAGAGAAAAGGTGTGGTCAGCAACAACGAATCTCATTGAAGCAGAGATACTGTGTAAATGGCGAAGGACCAAAATTGCTCATGCAACTCAGTCAGTCACTCGTGCCGTCACGCAGTCACACACTCACACACGCACACACTCACACACTCACACACTCACACACTCACGTACTCATGCACTCATGGACACTCATGCACTCAAGCACTCACACACTTGCTCCTGCACTTTTGTGCTCACTTGTGCACTCACGCATGCATGCATACACTCACTCATGCACTCACCCGCCGACCCACTCGCTCACTCACTCGCTCACTCACACACGCATGCACGCACGTACCCACTCAGTCACTCACTCACTCACTCACGGACTCATCCACACACACACACTCGTGCATGCACGCACTGATGCACAAAGTCACACTCTTACTCATCCAGGAACTCACTCACCAACTCACTCACTCACTCACCCACTCACCCACTCACCCACTCACCCACTCACCCACTCACCCACTCACTCTCCCACCCATTCGGTCACTCACCCACGCATTCACTCACCCACGCGTTCACTCACCCACGCATTCACTCGCTCACGCATTCACTCACCCACACATTCACTCACCCACACATTCACTCACTCACGCATCCACTCCCTCCCTCCCTCCCTCCCTGCCTCACTCACTCACTCAGTCACTCAGTCACTCAGTCACTCACCCAACCACTCACTCACTTGCTCCCTCCTCGTTCGCTGGCTCCCTCCCTCCCTCCCTCCCTTACTCACTCCCTCCTTTCTCCCTCCTCGCTCCTTCCTTGATGCCTTGCTCCCATCTCGCTCTCTTTCGCTCCCTCCGCCCTCCGTGCTCACTACCTTTGCACTCCCTCCTCTCTCCCTTCTTGCTCCCTCGCTCCTCCTCGCTCTCTCCTGTCTCCCTCTTTCTCTCCTTGCTCCTTCCTCCCTCCCTCCCTAACCCCTTGTTCTCCCCCTCCTTCTCCTCCCCTTCCCCTTCCCCTCCCCTCCCCCTCCCGCTCTCTTTGTTTTTTCGGCGGGGTGCCAACGACCCCCGACCGGTAGGGGTGCCGACTAGTCAAGGGGCGCCGACCGTCGGGGTATGCAACACTGCTATACATCAAAGGCCAGGTTTATTCTTTAAGGCTCCATTCATTTTTTTCAAAATTATAATTTCATAATTTGTTTAAAATTAATATTTGACTGCTCGTTTTAAATGCTTGCGGCTTCACTACAGGTGTTCTTGCATCACGTTTGGGAAGATAATGTCACAAACGGGATTGGGACGTTGCGGTGCACAGGTGAAGACAATTCTTTTTTTCTTTTGTTAATTGTTGATTTTCTGTCGGGCAGGAGCTGGGTGCAGGGGGAGGGCGGGAAAGGGGGGGGCAATGATGGGAGGGGAAAAGGTGGGGGTGAGAGGGAGGGTGGGAGGGTGTGTGTGTGGGGGGGGCGGGGGGGGTGAGACCAGTGAAAGGAAGAATTCGTAGCACATTTAGATTTGAAAACAGGTTGAAGATGGTTGTGGTATTCTTGAAGTCTTTTGTTGGTTCTTTTTTTTTTTTTTTTTTTTTTACAAAGGGGAGGCCTTTTGCAGGCTTTCATTAATGCTCAATAAGACTGAGGCCAGGAATACCTCAACAAACAACCCGGAAACGGAAAGAAAAACAATGCTGGGAGCTTTACCCAGTTTAGCTTCAGGTGTTGGGACGACTCATCAAGGAACAGAGTGGCCAAATTCAGACTGCTGTCCTGGCATTCCACAACCCTGGAGAAAAAAAAGGAAGCCCTCACGGCCAATAAAACCTAACAATACAAAAAATAACCAATAAGAGAAAGAGATTCACATCACCAAAGGAACAAGGTCATCCAATTCACACCTCCTAATACCTTCTAAGCCTAATTCTACCATTAACAAACCATCTATCTATTGGCTCTACCTCACAACCTATGTATCCCCGGCGGCCGCGGTCACCGTTGGCATGACCGCGGCCCATGCGGTCGACCGCGGGCCCGCGGTCATGACCGCGATGGCCGCGGTCGAAAAACGCGCGCCGCGGGCAGGGGAGGGGG